GCTCGAGGGCCCCCCCCCGGGGCCTCCCCCGGCGGCAGGGCCCAGCTGGCCTCGGAGACCCCCATCCCCCCTCCCCACAAAGGCCCTTGTCGTCGGGGAATAATTAATTTCCGTGAGAATTTGCCCCGTTCTGGCTACCCAGCAAAGGGACGGCTCAAATGCTGTTTGCCGAGGGGCCAAAACTGGTAATATTCTGTCAGGCGGAGGCGGGAAGCATCTAAACGGGGCTGGTGCCCTACATGAGACACAGCGTAACCTTCTCTGAGGAGAAACAACCCTCCTTTAGGTAGGCGTCGCCTTCGTTTTGGTTGAACGACTCAACTCGCCTGCCTGGAGTTCAGAGTATTTCCAGTACAGAATGCTGTTTGCCGAGGGGCCAAAACTGGTAATATTCTGTCAGGCGGAGGCGGGAAGCATCTAAACGGGGCTGGTGCCCTACATGAGACACAGCGTAACCTTCTCTGAGGAGAAACAACCCTCCTTTAGGTAGGCGTCGCCTTCGTTTTGGTTGAACGACTCAACTCGCCTGCCTGGAGTTCAGAGTATTTCCAGTACAGGGCCCCGGGCACCCTTCGTATTTCATGGGAGGTGAGTCGAGGAGAGCTGGCGGGATGCCGAGACACGGAGGCCTCCGGAGCTGCCCGTTGCCAGCCCTGCTGCTGCAAAGCTTCCTCGTGGTGCCCCAAGGGCAGGCACCTTTCCGGGCGAAACTGCAGTCGTGTCCTGAAGGTTTTTCTCCAGAGATCCACCGTGAAGTCCAGCGCAAGGCCCCGTTGTCTCTTACCGCTTCCCCAGAGCAGGACCAAAGGCCGTGAGCTTCTCCCGAAATACAGGAGGAGTTTGTCACCCGCTAGCCTCTCTACTGCTGCCGTTCCCTGCGCTGTACGGGACTGCTAGATGGTGAGGCAGGCACCAAAAATACCCGGGAATCTTCCCGCTCCTTCTGCCAGGAACTGGTATCTCAACACTCGTGATTTCTCTCTCTCTCCATCCCAGAATCTGCCTTTTATTTGACTACATTTGGGCTTTCTGAGTCCGTCAGAAAGCTATGGATCGATCTGCAAAGGGACTTGGAGCAACCACCCCGGTAGCTACAACCTCAGCTTCAGTCCTACAAACGGAGTTTCTCTCAGCTGATGAAAACACCAGTATCTCCTGCTCCACCACAGCAGCTCACCCACGTTCCCTTGGGGAGAAAACCAAAGAGGGTTCAAACAGTAAGTCACAGAGCAGTTAAGTCTTTCTCTCCTGCCTTTGGAGATCCTGCTTGCTGTCCCTCGCCATGGCTCATGATACCTTTCTTTGAACATTGCATCAACAACAAAAGACCTTGGTTAAAAACCGTGAGATGGCGGTGGGGCACACCCTTGGGAGACCAAAAGCTACGTGGGAGCCTAAGCAGTAGTCTGAAACGGGAGAAATACCTGCTCTGACTTAGATCTGCAGGCTGTGTCCTCTGCGGCACCCACAGAGAGCCACAGAGGCAGAGAAAAGGGCAGGAGGGTCGAGGTAGCCCGTCCTACCTGGGCTACCTCGTCCCCTACCTGGGGAAAAGTGCTGTGGGGTGACAAGACACTGCTTCTCCCATCCCATAGAGCATCCTGCATTTTTTAGCCGAAGAGAGCGTGTCAAAGATCCTGAGCCACAGAGACGCCACTGTGTCCTCCCAGGGCCAATGTTTGGATGGGCCCGCAGGGCACAGTCGGGCCTGCTGACCTTGTCTAGGTGAGACTGTGACATGTGAGACAGGGGGAATTTTCAAGGCCGGATGCTTTCGGCTGTGGCACGTGGTCAGTCCACGCAGACTTGAGGGCTTGCCAGCCCTGGCCTGCTTTCCTCGTCCCCCGCCTGCTGGCCGTGACCCGCGGGCTGCACAAGCACAACAGCCCAGTAGCCTCTGGCATGGAGTGCCTGGGCATCTTACAAACACACCTTGGGTAATTAGAGAAAATAACCTCCTCTTGGCAGACCAAACAGCCTTTTCTTGTCTTTCTTCACTGTTCGTGCTTTGAAGGAAAAAAGGAAAGCATTTGTTCCAAAAGGAAGACAGGAACTGCGTGTGCGAAAAGGATTTGACTTTCAAGTTAAGGAGCGTTTTTCTCCACGTGGCCAAGACTATCACAGCCACAGTCAAGCCCAGGGGACAGAGGAATGAAGGAACAAGCTGTTTTCCCACTAAACTGCATCTGTGGGCCCCTTTAGCAATCGGCTGCTCTCAGGTAGCCAAACTCTGCTGCTTGCAGGCTTCAGGTGAAACGCGTGGCTCTGAGCGTACTGGGAGAGTCACGGGGGAAGAAGCAAGAGCGGCATGCCGGGCTCGACGCATACTGCCCACCTCGGCATACATCTGCTCATGGTGTCCAGCAGGGGCTGCGTGCACTCCAGAGGGGCTCTCCCTCCCAGCCCTCCACAGCTGTGTACTGCAAAATTTCTCCCAAATCCTCTTCCAGCCTGCAACACTTTGCAGCTCAGACCTCTGCTTAAAAGCCCATGATGCATTTCTCTTCCATGAGCTTGTGCAGTGCCTCTTTGGCAGCTGAGGGGAGGACTTCCACAGCTCAGCTATGCCCTGCAGCAAGAACCACCCTTCTCTTTTCAGACCGCTCATGATAAATGCACTGATGCCATTTGCAGTCAAAGCATAGGTCACCCTCGGAGAAGAGTGAGGGATTAAGCAGCATTTTGCCACGCGAAGAAAATCCTGCTGGGCACACAGAAGGCTAGCGCGGCCCGAGAAGAGCCTGACACACCGAAGCCACAGACGGCATGAGAGCTGCAGTAGCTGGAAGGCAGCGCAATTGCCGCAGAAGGTGAGAGGCCTGAACGTCCTCATCTGAGGAGGCATCGAACCTGCTGTCCTGGCCATCCCCTAGACCATCGCCTGTGCTTGCTCCAAAATGAAGCCTGACAACTGTCCCCGAGTCCTGTTCACCTCTGTGATATGGACTGGGGGCCTTAGTCTCGATGTGACACTGCGTGAACCCAATAGCACCCTCTGAAGCATTCCCAACGGTTTCATAAACCTCCTGCTCCTCAGCACCCTGGTACCAATCCAGACATCGGTGTGAGCAACAGGAGTGCATTAACCTGTCCCCTTCACCAGACAACCAGAGATACGGTGATTCTTGGGGCTATCCGAACTGCCCCACAAACCTGCACTTACCCTGCGAGGTCACCTCTAGTCTCTGGGATGCTGCAGCAGGAGGAGCTACCCTAACATGCCTAAAATCAAGGCAAGGGTCTTACCAAATCCACATGCCCTGAGGAGGACCAAGGAAGCAGAACACACAAGGAAGCTGAATTCTCAGCAGACGAACCTCGATAAACAGATGAGATTTCCCAAGAAATCCCAATGCAACTATAGAGTAAGGGAAACGATCCAACTCCCACCGAGGGAGTCGCTTGAAATTGCACATGGCAAAACTTGTCGGAACAACACTAATTTTTATTTAAAAGTATCCATCTCTCCCCAATGGGAAAACCAAGTTGCATCAACTAGAGTAAAACCAAAAAAAGGAGAGGACAGGCCTTTTAATCCCTTGTGGCCTCCTCTTCTCTGCAGCACTTTTGGCTTCTAAAACCATTCCCTGATCAGGTAAGTTAGGACTTAATTCTTCATTCAACTTCCATGTGAAAACTACTTAACATCGTTCTTTGCTCCACAGAGGCATCAAAAGCCAAAATTCCCTCCCTCTGCCGACTTACAAACACACGACAACCTCACAAGTTGAGTGTTAAACATAAAACAATTTTATTACATATTTTGCAAAATGCTTTTTCTTTTTTAAAAGATTTGCAGGGACACAATTCCCTCCTGCAGGTTCTCCTACGGATTATGCTTTCAAAATGTCATGATACACCTCTAGAATTAATGACATTTCACACTAAATACAGAAAAACTGAACACATGCCTTTATCAAGTCCAAAGCAGCGATAAACCAGCTGTTTACTAAAGAGTGATTCAATGTGAAAATAAAGTATGCATGCCATTGCTAAAAAGCATCAGAAAAATGCATGAAGAATTTTACAGACAACTAAAGCATTAGAGAAGAGGGCCTTGGTGCGGATACTGCTGGTTTGGGATCTCCACATGCTTCTGCACGATTCGGAAGACATCTGTGAGAAGATACACGCCCCCTCTTTAGAGGGCTGATTTTTCTGACAGATTCTGCAATGTGGTTACACAGGCTCAAATGCTCCCTGCTTTACAGTATGGATATTTGCTAACAATTTCTGCTTTATTTCAGTACAACACTCAGTAATAAAACACCAGCCTTTTAAAAAGGTGAAAGAATTTGGGGAGATTTCCCTACCTTTTGCAAATAAAGAGCAATTGGAAGTGCTGAAAGCTGCAGCTTTCACGGAGAGGTCACAGGTCTATATAAACCTCTCCCTGGTGAAATTACTAAAGCTGAGAAAAATAGCTTCTTGGGGACTGCCGATAGGGACTTCTGAGTTCTTCTCAGAGTCCCAGGCCTGCCCTGCTGGCAGGGAGGTTTTGGGCAAGTCACCACCTCGTCTTCAAATGGAGAGAACAGTCTCTGCATCACCTCTCCCAGCAGAGGAGTTATATTGCGTTTAAAAGCACACTCTGTTCCTCTGACAGATAAAGTGCTAGATATGAACAAGCTGTGAACAGCTCAGGTTCACCCTGAAAAACAGCTCAGTCGGACCAAAAAACCATCTTGCTATTGCATATATTTATTGTCCTCATCATTTAAGAGAGCTGCTTCTTTCATTGCTGAGGAAAGGGAATTGGTGAGCAGCTGCTCCAACGAGGCCCAAGTCAGAACAAGCTCCAAGTCCCATCTCCCTTCCCCAGGTTAACGGTGGTGCTAAGTCAGTAAACCAAAAATGACAAGGCAAAGCTGGGGAAGCAGCCACATGGCTCAAAGCCTGGGGCTTGTAAAGGGGACGGGAGAAACACAGCGGGGACATGGGATCGAGCAGATGCAGACAGGTGACTTGCAAAGTCCCCAGCATTTCCTTTGGCATCCGTGAAAAAACAAAATGACTCTTGCGGCCGGAGTGAGTAACACAAACGGCAGCTAAAGGAGGGATGAACAGGCAAGGACTTCCCGCAAGCCATTCAGCTCCACAGGCTCTGCGGTACCCAAGTAGTGCTGCCAAGGAGGTGACGGGCTGCTGGGCAGCTCTGGGATGTGGCACCAACAGCCTCTCGCTGAGGCTCGTGCTACGTATCCCTCCAGACAGCAGCAAGGAGTGCAAACACGGCCCACGGCAACGCAGAAGGAACGGAGAAGGCACCTGATGTGCCACGGGAGGGTACTTCACATCAAGCACCACGAGGCTGGCACAACCTTATGGATCCCATAGTATTTACGGCAGGCTCCGAGGGTCACCACTGTGCCTGGACACGGCCCAGCAGTCTCACAGGGGCGCTCCTGGATTAAACCTTGCAAAACCTGCTACGACGGAAACAGGCGCTTCATCGCCACCAAGGGAGGAGGAGCCGTTCGGCCCCATCACCTCCCAAAGCAAGCTGCATGCCAGCCATCCCAGACCCCATGACCTCTCTGTGCCATGAGGGAAGGGGAGGATGCTCTGAGCAAGAGCACAGATGCAGTCTGGCCTGTCGTGCTCTCATCATGGGCATGGCAGCACAGCCCTTTGGAGCTGTTGAACTTCCCCCTTCCCATGGCAGCAACAAGCTTTCCTTTGTTAGATCCTCCCAGCGGTGGGGAGACACACCAGTTAAGGCTTTGGCAAGGTGGAAGTGCTGGCCGTGCCCTGCCACCCCGCCGGGCTGGTCTCAGCCCCTCGGCAGGAGCAAGCAGAGGGGAGCGCACCTTGCCGCACCACGGTCCTTGTTGCACACCCAGTGCCAGAGGAAAGGACAACAGAGATGGGCCAGGGTCCCAGCACCAGAGCCAGAGACACAGTATAAGGCAAATGCGAGGTTGGGCACCTGGTGAAGGCTGCTGCACAGACCCTTGGGTGTGTTTTCAAGTCAAGCTGAGCAGAGCCAACAGTCAGCTCCACTTTTTCAGGACATCTGCAAAACCCTTTCTCGAAGCTGGAAGGTCACCCTTTGGACCACCAGGAAGCATTTCCCTGGGGTCTTCTAGAACTGAAGAAGGAAGACGTGGATAATCACCAGGAAGGTTTTGATTTTTAACTCAGGGGATCGGTCCTTGAGTGAGACCTTCTCTGCAAGTGCAACAGGCAGAGGGAACAGACAAGATGGCTGGGGAACAGACCAAAACCCAAGAGCATCACGCAACCAAGGCCTCTTCCAGTGAAACCTTCCAGGGAGAGTTAACAAGGCCCTACCACCCACTCCCCTACTCTTCAGGCTTCAAGCACGTTGGCCGAATTCCTGCTTCAAAGAGGAATCGCCCAGGCTGAGCAATGATAGTGGCAGCCCACCACCTCTTCCCTCTGCTCCAGCGCTATTTCTGCAGTCGAGCATATACGAGAAAAGCCACGGCCGAAATCAGTGCGATGCCTGCAGCTGGTGCAAGGTACGACAAGGACGAGCCATTGCTGTCTCTTGGGGAGACTTTGGCCTGAGACAAGCTGGAGTTGGTGCTCGAGTCAAAAGCTGGAGGGTTTCTGAAGGGACCATCTCTCTCCGGGAGGTCCTGGGCTGCCCCGAGCAGGACGCTGGGGTAACGGTCCACCCGGACCTCGTGGGTGCCCTGGGAGGTGCTGTCCCAGCTCAGAGGCAGATGGGAGCTTGCTCCCGTTGCCTCCCCTCCCCTGGGCTCGGCATGAGCTGCTGGAGCCGGGGATGAGCGTCCCAAGGAGGCTCCAGGGAGCACTTTTCCAGGGCTTGAGCTGTCCGTGCTCACCATGAGTGGGTCACTGCTTATCTCGAGGCGATTGGAGTCCCCCGAATAGGGGTTGCTGGGCCCCCGCGAGCCCAAAAAACAGCCGGCCGCCTGCGGGCTCTCCCCCACCACGGAGAGGAGAATGCCTGGCTTGCTGAGCTCCATGTCTTCCTCCACCTCGCTGTGAAACACCCGTATGTTCCCAGGAGAGCTCACTGGGGGGGTTCTCCTCCCAGCCGTGCCTTCAAAGCTGCCTGCAAAGGTCGCGCCCAGGAGAGGGGCTGCTGAGGCTGGGAGCACCTTTGGGCAACAACAAAATGGGCTGTCTCAGGTGGGTGCTGTAGAGATCACACATTCAGCCTGGCTTCAGGCACCCATGTCAAGCATCAAGCCCAGCTCCAGCACTCAGAGCCCTCAGCCACCAAGTCTCCAGTCACTGGAAAGCAAGGCTGGCCACGAGCAGCTCCCTGGGCTGGGTGAACGAGCAAGGCAGGAAGGTACCAGGACTCCGGAGAGCCTTTGGGATTAGGAGGGATATGGGAAGGCAGACGATGAGAGAGGTGCACATGTGCATCTGAAACTATCTGGAAGCTGGGAGATTGGCCGGCAAGTCAAGGGGGAAATAGAGAGTTAAAGACCAACAAACTTTGGCTCCCTTCTTCCTCCCTGGGGCTGGCAGCACTGAAATGACGGCCTGAGATGGCGAGGGGAGCAAAGCGCATCCCCCAAACGAGACTTGACGAACTGACCCCAACCGAGCAGCACAGGGAGCTCACGCAGTGCGAAGCACCAGGGTGCCAACCGGGAGCAGCAGCAGGAAACCAAGCCTGCCCGGCTGGGAAAGCTTCCCTGGGAGGATACGTACGGCACAGGCAGGGAGCACCCATGCAGCTGCTGCACTTCTACCCTAGCGCCTCAGGCTCCCTGCACACTTGGGGTAAGGAAATAAGCACTGGGGGGAATGATTTCCTTTGTTCAAAACCTCCATCCTTGGGGTCTCGAATAGAGCCCTCAGCCCCACAAAATCAATGGGGGACATCCAAGTGCCTGCAGAGAGGTCAGGGTCCAGCCCCCACTCTATGCGCGTATTGTAACAGCCACTTGCTAAAGCAGCTCTTTCAGATACTCCTTAAAAACAGAACACCAGGATGGGGTCAGGATCACAGCGGGGAAAAAAAAGCCCTGAATAAACGCACCACCGACGGCAAAAAAGCTCCAGCCAGAAAAAAGGTTTTCAAGGATCTGAATCAAATGCAAGCAGCAACCTGACAAACTAAGATCACCTACTTTCTCCTTCGTCAGCACAGATAGGGCACTGCTGGCTCTCTCCCCCGCAGGCAGTTTTTCCTCTTGTACCGGAGGCTTCAAGGAGGCACTGCTTGACGTGGAAGTGTCTGTGCGTGCAGGAGCAGAGACCAGGGGGGTTGTTTCCATCTGAGCATCTGACAGGGAGAAAAAAAAATGCCCTGTGTTAACCAGCAGACCTCAAAAGAAAGCAAGTTTTGCTCTCCCCTAAGGACGCTGCAGTAGGACAGTCCCACCTCCAAGGCACGCATGTCTCTGTGTTCACGGGTTTTCACCTTTTCGTCACATCTACGTGTTAATCGGCACAGAAAAAGAGACGCTGAGGCCTGCAGCCTGGTTCATCATCCTCAGCACTCCAGGACACGGGCAAGGGGCCTGAGCCACAGCACGGCCCAGAGCTGAGGATGCTGAAGAGCGAACAGGACCCAGCACTGCCCAACGGCCCTGGCCCTGCTGCAGAGCCGGGGGCCCCTGAGCTCTCCCAGGGGTGCAGAAAACCAGACAGCACCCCTGGCCCTCCCTTAGAGCACAGGGCAGCCTCAAACTGCTGATATGGGGGCGCAGAGACGTTTAATCAGGGAGTTTTGCATCGCAAACAAAGCAACTGCCTCCGCGAACTCCTGATCTGGTCGTCGTGCCGAAACACGCTGAGCGACAACACCTGGAGGGAAAACAACGGGATAAAGAGCAGCTAGGCTGGATTTCGGCCAACTTTGCCCCCTTCTGGGGGGGGGGGTAACTGGGGCTCGAGAGACGGGAGAGCAGAAGGATGACAACAACAGAGAGGGTGCTACCTTCACTTCTGCAAACACTCATGGGGGCTAGAAAGGTGGATGCAAGCTTAGGCTGTCCTGAGCCAACAGCCGCAGCTACTGCCCTTTCTGTTCTCCAGGAAAGGCCCTCCATCGCCTCCCAGCCGGACCCTACCCCACATGCCCACTTTCCGCACCACCTCCAGCCTCCGTCCTCCCCATCACCCTGCCTTGGCCCCGCTACCCAGGGCGGACGTCGGCACTGCCTTCGACCCTGCTCCCCCAGGAAGGAAACCCACCTCCATCTCCTTCGTGGTCTCTCAGCATCCCGACCCGCTTCTGCTCTGCATCAAACTGTTTTTGGATGAGGAGGGGGTTGCGCACATCCACAAAGCTGCCCGGGGGCTCTCCATACCCGGAGCCGCACGGAGCCTGGGTTTGCGGCGGCAACTCCCTGACGCGAACGGCCTCGACCGATCTCGTAGGCAGCTCAGCAGAGACGTAGTGAACCTCTTCGGGTTCGTTCCTGGGCTGGTCGAGGCTGCGAGCAGCGCGCGGATCCCGTGACAGAAGAGACCTGCCCGGGCCCAGGCCCGAGGCGCTGCGGTTCAGGTGGTTGGCGTTCCCAAAATACCCATTGTCCACGCACACCGGGTGCTGCTGGCGACTCGGCCAGTCCCGGCCCTGCTCAAAGGTGCCGGCCGGTGGCATGGCCGTGTTGGTGGCCACGGGGGGCCCCACTGTCACCCGTGCAGCGTCAGCAGAGTGCAGGACCTGCCCCTCTCTGCGGAGCCCATCGCTCGCTCTGTCATAAGCCACGCTGCCAGGTGGATGGGGACTCTCTTGCTCCAGGAGCTCCTTTGGGAGCTGGAAGGAAAACGAGCCGTGTTAAAGCACTGCTGTTACTGTTCCCACCTCGGCCAGGATCAGGACTCCTGGAGCTCCTCAGAGCCAAACCTAGTGCCCCCCAGGGAGCCTGGAGAGGAGCTCAGACTAACAGAGCTGAGCCTGCACTCATGTGCGTGCAAGGAGAGGAAGCGGGAGAGGGCAACAGTTATACAGCTGTACGTAGGCTATAAGGGGACAGTCTGGTGCTTCTCAACATAGGCGGCTGCATTTTAACCCAAGGGTTTGGTGCATGCGAGCAGCAGGGTGCCTGGACCTCCTGCATCTCCTTGGACGAAGATGATGGGCAAGCACACAGCAGGGATCTGTACCAAGAAGCTGCTTGTGGCATCCCCAACACCCCGCTTGCACGTACTACCTGGGAAAGCGCTGGTAAAGACAGGGGAAACCCCTCTGTCCCGGGTACTGCAGAGCTAGGAGAGATCACGGTAACAGCTGCCCCTCTCAGCACTTTTTGGCTGCTCCATCCTCTGCTAATGACACAGAAACACAGCGTCCCAGAAAGAGCCTGGCCCTAACACAGGCTCCTGACTCTCCAAAAACAAAATGCCGTTGCAGCCCACAAAGGATCTTTGCAGCCACGTCCGATGCGCGTGTCGCTCACCGTTTCCTGCACTGGGGCCCTGGCGTTCAGGTCCTCGCTGGCAGCAGCCGAGCTCGCAGCGGTCGCGGCATGGGGCAGGAGAGGCGGTTGGCTGCTGGTGGGCCGGTCACGGTGCGAATGCTCGGGCATCGGGGCACCCGGAGCGGGGTTTGCCCCCAGGGACGGCATCTGGGCACTCACGGAGGAGATGGGGGCACTGCTGGCTGCAGGAGGGAAGGAAGCGGTGATGGGAGACGAGATGACAGACCTGGCCTGCTGTCAGCCCAAGCATCTCCGCACCAGGCTACCTCCAGACCTCCTGCCGTCCCCAGGCACATCAAGGGGTGACACACATCCTTGGGGACCATCACGGAGGTGTTTGGGCAAGAGAAGACAGCAGCTTGGCGGCAGCCCAGGTCCCATCTCTGCCGGGTGACTGACTGCCAGGAAGCTGCTTTGTTCAGTGAGAATTAGCAACGGGGTTTCACAAATCCCATCCAGGGGCCATTCACGGGGACAGAAACACCTCTCTGACAGCCAGGGTTTGATGCTACACCATGCTAGGAAATTAAGCGTGCTCGGGAACGTGCTTGCATGAGACACGCTGGTCGCGCACGACCAAGAACAGGTGCCGGATCTGATGCCAGACTCCCAAACCGGGCTAGGGACGGAGCTACCAGCACAGACCCCCGCGTCCAGCACTAAGACCCGTTCCCCGAGACCATTTAACGAACTGACACTAAGACAGCTTACGTCTCTCGACTGCACCTCCCTCCCGTGGAGGGGAGCCGGGCGAACGCCGCGAGAGGGAGAGCCCGAGGCGGGGGCCCAGGGACGGCGAGGCCACTTACGGAGGCGGTAGAG